AAAAAAAAAAAAAAAAAAAAAAAATCAATATCGCGATACCAATCATTAACGAATCTCCTCTCGTTTCTCGTGATAAATCGTGCTTCTCAAACGATCTCACAAATCGAGTCGATAAAGTTCTCGCAAAGGACATAACTTTTCAATACCCTTGAAAGGTTCTTCAGTTAGCTAGATTCGGGCGAAAGATATCCAATGACCCGATACATGGTAGTATTGGCATCAAGAGCGACGCAGTCGCGACGAAACGGTGGGTCGTGAAAGCAGAGTAAGGGGAGGAGGAATGAAGAGAAGAAAGAAGAAAAAAAATAGAAAGGAGAAGAGATCTTTACAATAAAACTGAATGTACTTAGGAAGATACGTTTCTTGCTTGCGATCCTGTATTATGTACTTACGCTTTACGTCGCTCGTACGCTGCAGATTCTGTAAGCGCTCTGTGCTCGTTCTATATATTTACGAGCCTTGCTCGCTTGATACGCCGACATTCACCATAGAGATCGGGTACTGCACGTTCACCTGAAGGCCACAAGGACGACGGCTACGATCAGGGTAATCGATCCTGACATTGCCGAGGAACTTCCGGCGATTGGACCTTCGCTACTGCGCGATACTTTACTGCGCACCAGTTGACCACGTTCCACGGCATTGGCCTCGTCGCTTTCAGGATCTACCGGGGCGCCGATATCGCTGTCCTGGCTCAGTAGCATCGACAACTTATTCCTTGAAGGCTTCTTCGAACAGGGTGGGGACGATTCCTTATATGGCTTTAAGATTCGAGGATAGTAGACCTCCTCGCGTTCCAATATCCAGGCACCCCTGCTACTTAGGCAGATGGGATTGAAGGTCCCCGCGTGAGTCGCTTCTTGGAAACTCTGAAAACTGGTGTCCCAGTCGTAGCTCATGAGACGTTCCTCCAAGGTCATGCCTTCCAGTTCTTTTGGCTTTAAGATCTTCACGGGATCGTAACCTCTGCAACGACAACAGAAAGATGTCTTGATTTTATGGGTTTCAGCCATTTGTGTATGGAATCGAGGATTTCAAAGATTTAGGTAAACAAAGCTATTTGATTAAACTGTAGGAATGTTCTGGTACACTGTCATTATGTACGGTAACACGATGCGATTATAAGAGTAGAGATAAGGAAGTAACTCACTTCATTAATTCTTGTATTCCCAGACTGTGCAGAACTGTGGGTAAGGATGGGAGTGAGTAACACAGAGACAACTCGATCCGTGGATAGTACAGAGCAGACACCAAACAAGTCTCTTCTCTAGTGGCCAGTCCCCCCAGAGTGATCGTCTTTCGAGACTCCGAAGAGTAGGTACATTCTGCCACCAAGTGGTCACCCTGTAACGAGAATCATGTTGTAGGCTATATTGCGTAGGCAAATTTGAAGTTTCAGTTTAAACGGTACAGATGCTTGCTGCGTCAGCAAACTACTTACGGGATAGACTTTTACGGGTCGCTGAAGTCTACGATACTCTTGATAGGTTGGATCGTAACTGGAATCGGATGCAATTGGCGGCAACTCTTCGCTAGCACGTATCTGTCGCAACCTGACCTTCCTGCCCAGTTGATGAGTGTGCATGATCACAGCGAACATATTAATCCCAGTACTGGGTATAGTCTTTCCGGTACAGTCGGCAATGCAGTGCCCTTCGGAGATGACTTCTGGTTGCCTCGGTGGAATTATGTGTTTCCAATTGGACTCAATACCTATGTTGAGTATACCAGCGTCGTGTACCCGAAGTCGATCGGTATAAAGTAATCGGAGACCGGAACTGTCAGTAATGAAGGCGTCCAGTTGCGGATTCGTGTAATGAGTCTCCAGCATGTAATAGCGCGGTCCGCTATGTGGATCCAGCGCGTATCCGGCCTCGGCCGGGTAATTAAAGCCCTGCAAAATGCAAAGGTTGGGTGAAGCTATTCGCGTACGGAGAAGAGCAAAAACTTGAGCTTGTGGCTGTACGAGCCAAAGCGAGAAGACGCGTGTGGGCATGCGCAGTACTGCCTTCGCAGGGAGCTCATGTTTCGAAACCTCTAGGAACGAGTTTCTGCTCGTCAGGTATATTGGTATGCATTACTGGATGGGGAGGATTATAGCGCACGATTCAGTTACATGCATGCGCGCCCGCACGTATTTACCGAACGCGGATTCTTTGTTTTGTGCAATTCGAGGATTGAAACTTATTGAATCTGATTCTTGATCACTTTCTTTAGGAGTTTTAATCAACGGACTCTCTGCCGCGCCGAGCGATGCCGGTGATACGGTTTTGTATCGCTGGAACGAGTTACAGATAATAGAAATGGAAACTAGAACGGATTGCCTACCTCTGATCCCAAGCTCCAGGTCACGGCTATTGTGTTGCACTGGAGAGACGTTAATGACAGTGACTCGCATACTTTTGCTTGTTCAGAAGCCGCTTCTAATTCCGTATGATTGCCACGACACTCGTAGAGAGTCATATGATGGAGGTACTCCTGTCTACCTGGCTCGATCACTGGTTCGTACTGGAATATAAAACGACATATGGTTTAGATTCAATTTTAAAAATATTGTAACGTGATGCAGGTCCATGCTGTGGCGAATGCTTGATTTATCGATCAATTCTCTTTCCTCTCGATTTTTATCTCAGTTTATTTTTTCTACTGAAATTGGATATCGTCCACTTTCAAAATTCGATACTCAGCGGCGAGGACATTTCAAGTAACCTCCGAAAGGTGAAACTTTCTCATTTAAATTCATAACGATCAATATCACGGTCGCAGAAGGCATTGGGCAATCGATACAACCAAATTTTTAATTTAACAGCTTTCGGAACTTTCACACCGTAGCGAACTTCTTTAATCGCGTTACACCGGTAATATCATTGTGACAGATGGAAGTCTCCGTTGAGAACTGAGGAAGATCGATAAGTTTCGTAAGCGGGAAAACTTAATGAAAAACAAGAAAAGTCACTTGAGGATATGGAAATGAGAAGGGATGAAATTCCGTTAAGTTATGGTCGCCCACCGACGCGTACCTTCCCGTCGCGGATTATATTGTTACCTTACTCGCTGCTTTTACATTTTACTTCACACTTTACCAACCAGATGGAACCTGATGGAAAGGCGGTTGTAAACTTGACTTAAGCTGAACTTACCCTCACGACGTGATGCTTGTGGTGAATGTTCGGCATTTTGACAACGCGACATACTATGAGCGTATCTGCTTCTGTTGGCAGATGAACCTGTAACACAAAGTGACATGATATATTTAGATTCTTGACACAGCTTGTCAAAATAGAAACTTACAAGAAAAAAGAAGTTTGCCTTCTTTTTAATATTATTCCAGACTTCATTTCAAATTTCGTATTACGCAATACCCACACATGTACACAGATTTAACGTAGAATTTCTTTTTTATATAGTTGGTACGTGTTAAATAGGCAGAATGGATGAACTTCCGAAGATTACAAGAACTGTGCTATAACTGACTACTATAATTTCATATTTATTCAGAGAAACGCTAAGCTTTCAAAGTTCGTTAAAAGGCACAGTACAATTTTTCACTTTGCAAATCTCGTTATCACTGTGACTGAATAAACTGAACAATGTATAGTTAATTTTCAAAAGCATGTTAATTTCACGTGTACTAAGTAAGGTATACTTTAATGGGTAAATAAAATAATGGTGTAGAAGTCACTGAGCAAATTTTCAGGTTAGGAAACATTAAGATGGCAAAGACGAGTACGAGTTTCTTTAATTCACACGTAAATTTGTTTGTCCTTAAGAAAACTCAATATAAAAAGAAAAGTCTCATTTACGACGATGGGATAAAGCCCAAAAATGTACCATGAACCGGTGTGAAATATTTATTATACAATATATGAATAACTTTGCATTTATCATCGCAGTCCCAACATTACTTAAGATCGTTGAAAACGAAATTCACGCGAGCCGAAAGTAGGGTGAATTAATTTCTTGAGGGAATCAACGAACCAAAGAAACCAGGTCGACCAGCATTGAAGGAGTCTTTGTCTGGTTAACAAAATAGAGTTACGTTTTTATGTTGTAATGTGGCACTTCTTTAATTGAAAAAGTGTTCTGCGTACGTCGATGTACAGCTAGTTTGCCATATACAGCCAGCCCATCAACCTCGCAACGCCCTCGAGGAAATTACAATTATCTCTCAGCACCACGACGAGCGCTTCTTTGTGCATCCTAACACTGCAGGTATAGCGCTTATGCGGAGTAAATTTTCTGAGACAATGACGTACACTACATGATTTTCAGAATTACTTAAATCTTTTTATTTATTTACTGCGGAGATTGTTAATCAATCATACCGTGAGATGTTTTGTGACATATTTAATCACTCAAAAAATTATTAAATTTAATTTCAGAAAATGTTCAGTGGCATTGAGAAAAGATTAGTTTCAGCGCTCGCGCATGGTGACGGGTTCAAGGGAGACGAATAATATCTGAATAAACATTCGAGTAGATCGAAGCTTTTAAATATTTTAGGTAATCAATCGTCGCTGCAGGAATTCCAGTCACGTATCGGAATTGAAAGCGCCCGCGCGCATGGAAACTATCGTGTTTATCGTTCACCTGTTGTTCCATTTCGTGGTTACATGAAAAAGAAGACAGTTTTACAATCGTACGATGTGATCTAGGTCAGACCTATATTATATTACCTGTACACGGAGATGTAATTTTTCAATTTTGAAAAAATTTTTCCAAAATTCCTAACAAAGACAATAAAGTTCCACGAACTATAAAGTTTCTACGTAGCTACGTGACAATTGATAGTCGGGCCACTTCACGTACTAATTTGCAAGGGTGACATGACCGATTTTAAAGCGACACGTTCGTTTGTATCGCATGTTTTTGTCATGTGTAGAAGTCGCGTGCGAGGAAGTGACCCACCTAGCACGTGAGATGAATGTTCGAACGCATTTTCGTTCAGGGAGTGGATTTTTATCGGATGCAACTCGCGAGCATTGTGTATGAAATTTATGATGGCATAAATCCAGCGCGGTGAGGGGTCACATTCGGCAAAAACTATTCGTTCATTAGCGTCGCGAGGTAATAGATTACACCTCCGTTATCGCAAAATCGTCCAAAGCTAATTCTGGTGTTCACTGCTATTTATAGTATTGCATAAAATTGGGTCGAGTCAGAAATACTATAAGCATTCGCAAGACAAGGTTAAAGGGGGAATGTTTTCAAGGAGAAACTAATATTTGAATACATACAGCGAATAAACAAGAAATTTGAAAAATAATTAATAAATTTTGAAAATTGTTTTATTATTCTATAACTTTGTTTCTGCTTCATACCCGAAATAAATATGATTTTTCTATTGTTAAAATAATATTACGTATTGTGTAATATTTTATTGCATAACCTTTACTGATATTTTTGCATGTAATACTTTTCGGCTGAGTCGCTGATGATAAGATATGTCCTCTTTTTTTTCTATTGCGCAATTAAAATTTTTGAAACATTCGATTTTCCTAATGAAATATTGCAATACCATTTATTTGCGTAAATATAAATTTACAATGCAAGTACGTCAGAATTATTTGTATACGAATTACCTCGAATCAAATTAGTGAATTTTCATGCTGCTGGTATTTATGGATGTAGCTATTTTTATAATGACGTCAAAGCAATGTATCAATCAGAAACATTGAATTTAATAGGAATATAATCCGGAATGCCCGTCTGCATTAATTCGCCATCCAAAGCGAGTTTCCATATGATTTTAATAAAGTTTCATTTAATACTTAACGTATCAAGCTCAAAGTGACTTTTACTTTCATATAAAACTCCGAAAGCTATTTTTGTTTGCGAATTTTCTGCATGAAAGACAACATGAAACAAAAAGTAAGTTTAACGGGACAAATTTTATTTAAATTCAGAAAAATCGTCGGTCATACTTTAAAGTGCATTACGATCTATTATCAGTGAAATAAGTAATTGGATATAATTTATTAAAATCATATTCAAAGTTTCTATGTAGAATATAATTGTTTTCCATGTCCTGTTGCAATTAATACGCAAAATTACTAAAATAGGTACTGAAATAGCGTACAATGTGAAAATATAGAATGAAATTCCTGAACTGAATATAAATAGTTCGTAATTGATTAATTAAATTGCGTTATATTGAAATTTTATAGTTTTCTAAATTTTTTGTTATTACTTCAAGTAATATCGACTAACCTGTTGATTTAGGACATCCCAGACTTGCAACGGTGGTTCCAATTTCTGGTTACGATGTGTACGTTTTGGTTGCGCATCCCGTTGCACCAGATAAAGGGGTCGGGTTCCATGCACGGCACCGTGCGCTGGTAAAACACCAGCTGCTGATACTGGTTCTTCGGCATGATATTGCCATACTACTTGCATGGTGTCATTCTGAAACAGAAAAAAAAAATACATTCTTACTAAAGAATTTTATGCCTTCCATTCCACATTTCTCTTAAGAAATTTATTTCAAACTATATATAGCCATAAGATCACAAAAACACAAGAAAAACTATTTGTCGTCGAAGTTTTAAACTTCGTCAGACTTCACCAAAAAATTGTCCAACTTCAATGTGTATTCGAAGATATAAAAAAAAATTACTGGAAATGGACTTAATTGACCGATAGCGAAGCAATGACGAGAAGTTTCGATGAGAAAGATGGATCGTTCCAATTGGACCATAATAGTGCATAGGGTCGTAATTTTCAAACTAAAACGAAGATACCCTAAGTTTGGGGGGGGGACACTCGCAATGGCAGGTCGACGGTTTTAGAAGTTTTGCTATATCTGAAACTTCAAAGTACCGCATTTATGGCAGTGGCTTGGGCTACTCTCTTTTCGCCCTTCCACAATCTCCTCCACACCCCCCCCCCCCC